TTCATTTGAAGTTCATGCATAGTTAATTGGGTATCAAAGTTGTAGCGAGTAACATTTTTTAAGAGTAGTTTGCAAGCAATGAGCAAATATCCTTAAAGATTCTGTCCTTGGGACTTCCCTGGTGGCGCAGTGGTTAAGAGTCCGCCTGCCAACGCAGGGGGCACCCGTTCGAGCCCTGGTCCGGGAAGATCCCACAGGCTGTGGAGCAACTAAGCCCATGTGCCACAACTACTGAGCCTGCGCTCTAGAGCCCTTGAGCCACAACTACTGAAGCCTGCACTCTAGAGCCCGTGCTCTGCAACATGAGAAGCCACCGCAATAAGAAGCCCGCGCACAGCCAGGAAGAGTAGCCCCAGCTCGCCGCCAGCGTGCAGCAACAAAGACCCAAGGCAGCCAAAAACCTAAATTAATTAATTAAATAAATCTATTTTAAAAAAGAGAGAAAAGTAACTTCAAAAAAAAAAGATTATGTTCTTAAAGACATTCAACCATCTTCAACCATCACCCTTTGTAGTAGAGCAAAGGCAAGCGTCTGCCTATTCCAAAATGAGATTTCAAAATTCGGAATTAGTGGGTTACAAATTTAGAAATTTATGGTAAGGAAAGTGGTTGCCATGTTGGTGTTTCTCCTCCAGGTCTACCTATAATCCCAGGATTATGCAGAATGGGCCCTTCCACTAGAGCTCAAGTGCTCAGACAAGTCGGTGGAGGTTGGAGAGGAAAGAGAGAAACGTAACCACACACCGCACGTTTTAGCAACTCCACCACTGGGAGCTAAGGAGATGTTCTTTCCCACCACAGATGAATTTTACCCTAGGTGAGATGGAAAGGACCAAACACCCAAAAGTCCAGTTCTATTCTTTTCCTGTGCGGAAACAATAATAAATGTGCAAGTCCAATCTGTCTCGCCCATTCATGCTTGTCTGCGGTTTGTCTGTCTCTTCTTCCACAGGGACAGTGCGTTCTCTGCATCACAGGGTGGTAGCATTGCCTTCTGTGCTCCCAGAGAAGTGGCACAGCTCGTGGTCCCCGTGCGGCCTGGCACCCAGCTGCCTGAGTTCAAGGCCAGGCTCTGCTGCCAACTCGCTTTGTGAACTTGGGCAAACAGCCAGTTTCTGCCATGGACTCCTCATCACGAAACGTAGATGCTAGATTTGGGGCGGGGGGAGGTGGGAGAATTAAACAGCTTACTTTTCATAAAGTGCTTAAAACCTTGCCTGGCGTACACAGCCTGCCTCCTGGGAGAACTGACGGTGTTTACAGCCAAAGAACACCCTTGGCCAGCTTTCAATCCCCTCGGTGCTGACTCAGCCTGCAGCAGGGCATGGAACTGCTGACTGCAACTAAGTAACTGCCTGGTGAATGCAAGCTCGTCATGGACTGAAGGTTTGTGTCCCCCAGAATTCGTGCTGAGACCCAAACCCCAAGCTGATGGTGTGAGAGAGTGGGGCCTTTTGGAGGGCTTCATCTAATGACAGGATTAGTGCCCTTACCAGAGACCCTCTGACGCGACAGGGGGAGGACACAGGGAACAGCCGGCCATCTGTGAACCAGGAAGCGGGCCTTCACTGGACACCAGATTTGCCGGGGCCTTGATCTTGTGCCCCCGGCTTCCATGACTGTGAAAAACAAGCTCAACTTGTAACTGTTGCTTACAAGCCACCTAGTCTATGGGATTCTGTTTCAGAAGGCCGAACGGATGAAGACAAAACTTGAAGATCACATTCATCAATGTTGGAAACTTCTGGACAAATGTCAAGGATTCTCAATTATCTTTCTAGAGTATTTAGCTCAAAGTTTCTTAGACACCCAGAAGAATATTCTAACAGGCGCTTCCAGGTTCTTTGATCAGAGCGGCGTAAAGTTTGGTTTACAAAAAAAACAACAAACTTGGGCTTCCCTGGTGGCGCAGTGGTTGAGAGTCCGCCTGCCAATGCAGGGGACACGGGTTCGTGCCCCGGTCCGGGAAGATCCCACATGCTGCGGAGCGGCTGGGCCTGTGAGCCATGGCCGCTGGGCCTGCGCGTCCGGAGCCTGTGCTCCGCAACGGGAGAGGCCACAGCAGTGAGAGGCTTGTGTACCGCAAAAAAAAAAAAAAAAAAAAAAACAACAAACTTTTACGATCCTACTTTACTATTAAACTTCATTCTAAGTCAGCCAAATTTGGGCTGAAACTTTGGTCAGAGTGGAAGGCCTAGAGCAATGTTTCTCAATACTGCATCAGTCACAGGGGTGCTTTAAAACGATCTGTTTTAGCTTTTCAGGTCCTCATGCAACCCCTGACCAAATATTTCCAAAGGCTGAGTGTTCTACCTTATGCGACAGTCCACGGCATGTTCAAAATGATTATTAGAAAGTTCTCTAAGCTGAAATAAACTTCATCTCCCTATTCTCTTGCTTTTTATGGTTTCACAGAATAAGTAGTCATTTGTATGCATGATAATACTTAGAATATTTAAAGCCAGTTAAAGCAGATTCTCCTAGGGATTATGTACTTGAATAAACTTGTAAGGTAAAACTCCTTATAATCAAATTTACTGTTGAAAATCTCTTAAGTTGCTTACAAAGTAAAATCCTAATAAAGCCGATTTTACCTCCAGGATTGGAATAGGTTGTTCCTTGGGCTGGGCTGCAGATGCAGGGGTTGGCTGGCAGTAGAGCCACATTGTAGGAAAAATTCTTACCTTTATTCAGTTGGAATGAATGCATATTGTTGAAATTATCATTGTGATGCAACATTATGAAACATTTCCTTAGTGTTTTCCATTAAAACAAAACACTTATTGTGTACCTTCGACATGCCAGGCATTGTGCCGGTGGGGACACTCGTCATTCATTCCCCGATAAATATGGAAGAGCAGACACTTTATTAGCTGAATGGGGAAGTCACTTCCTGAGACAAAACTGACATTTGAAGAGAAGATTGAGGAGAAAAAAGTTTGGTAACATGAAAGCAGTATACTTCAGAAAAAAGAAATCTGATAGTGTTGCAAACAACTCTGCTGCTATATCTTGAAAAACAGGTTCAGGAAGGGTCACCTTCCAGCCCTCTAATAGTAACTATTTGACTCATCATTGAAGGAACACTGGTTTGCAGCAAATTCCCAAGTACTTTTAGGATTAATTTACAAGAAACTAAATAATACCATGTATTTAGCAAAACAAAAAATACTTTCACTAGGAAAAATTAAAGATATCTTCATGGGGGCTCCTCAATGAATCCTTTTAAGATAAGTACTTCTAAGGAAAGAATCATTCTAGAAACGGAAACTAGACTTATCTTGTTTTATAAGCTGTCCTAAATTAACAGCAACAACAAAAAGCCCCAGCAGCAATCATAGCAGGATCTTCCTAAGAGGGACCAATGGCGGACAGTTACAGCAAAGATTCACAAGTCCCTCTGCCACCTGCTGAACTTGGTTAAAACAAAGATCAAAGGCAATGAGGAAATAAATTCATTAATGTCCAATGTTTGATAGATATTAAAGGAAATGGAAAAAGGCATTCCCATCTTCCTTAAGCTCCAGTCTGGGAAGGGAGGGTTTATGGTAGCTGGTGTGTGCTTGAGCCATGGGTTTTTAAAATTATTTTAAATTAATTTTTATTGGAGTATAGTTGATTTAGAATGTTGTGTTAGTTTCTGCTTTACAGCAAAGTAAATCAGTTACACTCATATATACATCCATTCTTTTTTAGATTCTTTTCCCATATAGGTCATTACAGATCACTGAATAGAGTTCCCTGTGCTATACAGTAGGTTCTTATTAGTTATCTATTTTATATATAGTAGTGTGTATATGTCAATCCCAATCTCCCAATTTATCCCCCTCCTTTCCCCTTTGGTAACCATGTTTGTTTCCTACATCTGTGACTCTGTTTCTGTTTTGTAAATAAGTTCATTTGTACCCCTCTTTTTAGATTCCACATACAAGGGATATCATATATTTGTTTTTCTCTGTCTGACTTACTTCATTCGGTATGACAATCTCTAGGTCCATCTATGTTGCTGCAAGTGGCACTATTTCATTCTTTTTTACGGCTGAGTAATATATATACCATATATATGTATATATATATGTATATATACATATATATGTATATATATATATATATATGTATATATGTACCACATCTTTAACCATTCCTCTGTTGATGGACATTTTGGTTGCCTCCATGTCCTGGCTATTGTAAATAGTGCTGCAATGAACATTGGGGTGTGTGTATCTTTTCAAATTACACTTTTCTCCAGATATACGCCCAGGAGTGGGATTGCTGGGTCGTATGGTAATTCTATTTTTAGTTTTTTAAGGAACCTCCATACTGTTCTCCATAGTGGCTGCACCAATTTACCTTCCCACCAACAGTGTAAGAGGGTTCCCTTTGCTCCACACCCTCTCCAGCATGTATTTGTTTGTAGATTTTTTGATGATGGCCATTCTTCCTGGTGTGAGGTGATATCTCATTGTAGTTTTGATTTGCATTTCTCTAATAATTCGTGATGTTGAGCATCTTTTCATATGCTTTTTGGCCAACTATATGTCTTCTTTGGAGAAATGTCTATTTAGATCTTCCACCTATTTTTTGATTTTTTTTTGATATTGAGCTCTATGAGTTGTTTGCATGTTTTGGAGATTAATCCCTTGTCGGTCCTTTCATTTGAATTTTTTTTTTTTAAGGTAGTGGTAGAGGTACTACCCTCTCCCCAAGCTGATTCCTCCACTACTGGTGCCCAGCTGCAGCACCTTTGCCAAAATTTGGCAATTCAAAGTGCAGAAAAGATAATGTTGTGGAAAAGCATCAAGTCTTGAGATCTTACAGTCATTGACTTTGTAACCCTGAACAGCAACAACCTTCATTCCCTTATCTGTAAATTAAGGATATATGGCCAGTGATTTAAGGGATAGAAAAAGGATCAAATAGATGCAAACTTCAAAAAGCATTGTGTGAAATGTAAAACCCCAGACAGGTAAAAATATAAAGAACTATAGCGATTTAGACAATTCAGAGGAAAAATCTAGTGTGAACGTTTTATTTTGACAAAACAAACTTCACAAATTTTACATTCTAAACTCCCAAAGTTTCACTTATTTGAAAAGTAAGAGACAAGGCATCCTGGACTCCAAGATTTCAGGCATGAATAGACTAGTGCCATATTTTCAAGTTTTATAAGCTAGCTGTACTTTATACACCATAAAAGTGAAGAGAGCTGTGACAAATTCACTAGTGTCCAGTGCACCTGTAAGAAACACACCGACACACCTGGAATTTCTAACCAGTTTCACATCAACAACCTCTGAGTAACTGACGTGCATATTTCCATTAATAGTAGGCACAACTCCACAAACATCAAATTACACAAATCACTTGCTTTTTATAATCTCAATTTGGAAATTGAAAAAATAAGAGGAACAGAGTTAAGCAGCTGCAAATGCTGCACTTACTGCACACAAGTACATCATGACAAGGAATGCTAAAAGTTCCCCCAGGAATGATTTTTGAAATTTTAAAGTATATTTTATCTGAAAAGTTGAATTCTTTAATGTGAAAAGCAAGTTAAGTATTGACTCCATCCCTAAAGATCTAGCAAGTTACAGATTCTGTGCAATTAGGCACTAACATACACATTTGAGAGATTAACACTGTTCAGTGGAACATGGAGGTGGTTCCGCAGTGTTTTTATGGTTCACTTTGGCTTCACACGTCCTTGAAACCTTAGACTCAGTGAGAAGTTACAACTTATCCCACACTAGATACAGGCAATGTGGTTATGATCCGGAACAAATGACTGCTTTTCACCTTCAAGGAACCTAATTTTGATTTATACAAAATTAGATTTTCACCCACATGTATGGATAAAAGTGCTTCTCAAATGTACATATCCCACTTCCATAATCCTAAAACAAAAGTAAAGGCACACAAATGGACAATGGTTTATATATTTTATGTGAATGTTTTTCGTTAGTCTTTAAACAAAATCAATTGCTGTCTAGAGAGGTGTGACCAACTTGTTACAAATTTCTACAACTTTGGAAATTAAAGATCTAAGAACTCTCTAAACACTGCAGTTCTGTGCAATTCATGTATTGGTTCATTCACTCTGCAATCTGTTAACTCACTCTGTCATCACTATAGGCTGCAATACTTATATTGCAGCAACTATGAGACCAAAAAGGCCAAGGGAGAAGGACGTTTTGGAATTAGTCTCCCACAAGTCATTTTGAATCTTGTTACAAGTGAATTTAATATGCCTGTGAGCTAAATTGAACAATAATTATAAAGACATTCACCCTAACATATTTGAACGAAATATAATTAAGAACCACAGTTAAACGAGTCTTTAATTTTAATGACCGATGTTTTTTCACTTATATGTGAAGGGATTCAATAACCAGCAGCATTTAAATATAGAAATCGTCCCATCTATTTTCTTTTCCCTTTTATAAAGTGCTATTTTTAACTGGGTAGATTTACTAGCCAGCTTTCCAATAACTTCATTCCATGTCTCTAATAGATTCAAGGAAACACTGGAAAACTGAAAAGATTGAGTATTTTAAACATTTGCAAAACATTGCTACAAAGTATTGAGACTATGAATGTATTTCATTAGTAAAATAAAAAGTGTACCTTGGGCTTCCCTGGTGGCGCAGTGGTTGAGAGTCCGCCTGCCGATGCAGGGGACACGGGTTCGTGCCCCAGTCCGGGAAGATCCCACATGCCGCTGAGCCTGCGCTCCGCAATGGGAGAGGCCACAGGAGCGAGAGGCCCGCGTTCCGCAAAAAAAAAAAAAAAGTGTACCTTATGTGAGAATATTAAGTTGATTTAATAATTACTTCACAGAAGCATCAGTTCATTAACATTTATGTCAATTTTTGTTAATAATCTAAACCAGAAACAGTTTCTGTAGGCAATTCAACTCTAAGCACTGTCAAATAGGGTCATGCCAAGTAGAACCAACGGTTAAATTACCCCCAGAATAAAAACTCAGACAAATTCAGACTTTTGGAAAAGCAAAACAAGTTAGTGAGAATCAGAACCAGAGGTAACATTTACTTAAAAGTACCATAGGTTGCTAAAAAGGGTTTTCTTTAAATAAAAATTTATGTAGTTATTAATAATGTACCTTAATACTAAGTGCAGTGGTATTAGAGATAAGTAAGAGGAAACCACACAACAGATTAACTCAAAAGTGAATGTTGCCTATTTCTTTAGTTCAGTGACCAAAGCTGAAATTGCTTTTGAAAAGAGGTGAACACTACTTACAAGTAGGGTACCAAGAGATTTCCAATTGCATTCACATTATTCTCTAATTAGTATTTGTGCATTTCAACTCTGACCTGACCTTCAGTAGCATCTTAAAATCAAATGCAATTAGTAAAAACACAGGGTAGTATGTCGGTTTGTTCACACTTACAAACACTACCAGCTTCATTACAATTTGCATTTCCTGTTGCTCTTGGAAGAGTCGCCACTATTAAAAACAGATACGAATGTGCAATGCTCCTTACTCTGCATGGTAGCCGGCAATGTTTCAATCAAAGGGACCCTCAGTCATCAACTCTGCACCTGATTTTGATACACTTTCAGTCCTTAGAAACAGGGACTCCAGCGCAGAAGGGTGGCAGGGGGAAAAGAGGCCTAGGTCAAGGTTTGAGGAATCGCTTGGAAATCCACTGCAGCCATACTGCTAAGGAGAATTCCTCCCCGTCCTTTCCAACCCCCCGAAGTAAGAATGCAGCATTTAGCTTAAGTCTTTTCTGGTCTCACTTCCTTGTCTACACCTAGTACCCTATTCCTAAGACGACAAACAAGTCTTAGAACGTTCTAAAATCATTTTTACCCGAATACATTGGACTTGGGTCTCAGTTTGAATGAGGATGAGTGGCCTTTAAAAGACCGGTCTTCCTCTTCGTCCTCCCCCTCCTCCAGGGGCTGCTCCGGGTCTCTGAAAGAGGGTGTGGTGTGGATGATCTGGGTTCGGAAGCGGATTTTGTTGAGTCTGGGTTTCATCCGCCCACTAGAGCTGCCCGAGGCTTTGCGACCCGGCTCCTTCGCTTTGCCCGCAGCCAATCCCTCGGCCAGGTGATGGTGATGGTGGTGGTGGTCCCCGCCGTCCTCCAGACCGTGCGAGAGTCTGCCGGAGATGAGGGTCGAGGGCAGCACCCTCGAGAGCCTCCAGCGCCCTCCCCCGCTGCCCGCCGTGCTCTCGGCTTCGTCCTCGTCCAGGGCGCCCACCAGGGTCCGGATCTCCTCGGCGGTGCTCGGGCTCAGGTACTGCGAAGGCTTCTTGCCGCTGTAGTCGCGCACGTCCACGTCCGCGTCGTAGGCCCCGACCAGCAGCTTCACCACCTCCACGTGCCCGTGCATGGCCGCCAGGTGCAGTGCGGTGTAGCCGCCGCTTGTGCGCGCGTTGATGTTCACCGGCAGCCGGTGCTGGCCCGCGAAGCGCACCAGCAGGGCCAGCAGCTCCTGCCGGCCGTGCTTGGCCGCCCAGTGCAGGCAGGTGAAGCCGGTGATGAAGTCGCGCTTGGCCAGCAGGCCGGGCTCGCAGGCCAGCAGCCCCTCTAGACTGTCCCAGCGGCCGTCGGCGGCCGACAGCATCCACGCGTGCTCCAGCGGGTCCAGCGTCAGCGCGCCCGCGCCCTCCTCCTCTGCCGCCGCGCCGTCCGCGCCCCCGGGGCCGCGCCGCAGCTGCGGGGAGCTGCCCGCCGCCTCCCGAGGCGCGGGGCGGCCGGGCCGCGGCGCATCGCCAGGCACCTCGGGCCGCGCGCCCTCTTCCGCGGGGCCGCCGCGGGGCCGCCTCCCCGGGGGCGCGCTCGGGGCTTCGTCCGCGGGGTCGGAGGGGTCGGCGGGGTATGCCGCCGAGTGCCCCGGCTCCCTGAGGCGGCCGCTGGCGCGCTGCTCGGGCGTCCCGCCCAGGGCGCCGCCGACGGGCTGCTCCAGCTCGGCCTGGTCCCGGGCGCCGCACTCCACTGGACCCTCCATCCGTGGCCGCGCACCTGGTGGGCTCCGCACCGACGCGGCTGGCCCCTCCTCAGGCCCCTCGGGCGCCGCAGCGGCCTGACTAGCCGCCACCGCCCCCCGGCCGCGCCCGCGGACACGCCCCCGCCGGACGGACACGCCCACTTCCGGCCTTCTCACTGGCCGCCTCATAGCTCCCGCGGGCCCCGCTCCTGTCCGACCCGCCCCCTTTCAGTCCCCGCGCAGGCCGCAATCAGTGCTCTCCCCGGAGAACACGCCCTGGCTCCACCCACTTCCGGCCCGTGAGCGGTCCGCAATGGCCGCTCCTGCCAGGGGACACGCCCAGACCCTGCCCACTTCCGGCGCCAGCTCCGGCCGCAATCTGTGCTTCAGCCCCGCCCCGGCGGTCGGAAAAGCAGTGTTCGCTTTTCCGCGCGTCTTTCTCCTAGCGTCCCGAGTGTGCTCCATTCCCTCCCCGGCACTAACTGGTGGTTCGCTAAAAGGTCCGGGCACTCCTGTGACAGGCCCGCTTCGCGCGCGCGGCATCTGGGCGCGGTGGAGACGCGCAGCCCGCCCCGACCCCCAGCTCACTGAGGCCGCTGGACCCCTCCTCTCATTTCCCCTCCCCTCCCTCTTGGACCCCTGCCCGCCGCGCCATCCGCCCGGACCCTACGTCACTGAGGCCACGGGACCCCTCCCCTCAGCTCCCCTCCTTTCCCGACCGGACCCCGCCCCGCGCCATCCCGCCCGGCCCTCTACGTCACTGAGGGCGCCGGACCCCTCTCCGCCGCTCCTCCCTTTCTCCCTCCCGTCCGCCCCCTCCTGTCCCGTCCCGCCCCCAGCGCCCCTCAGCCGCCGGACGCGCCATTCGGCCGGCTGCAGCCGCATCGCTGGCCCTCCGCCCGCCCAGCCCCGCTCGTACCATGTCTTCCGAGGTGGCGCGGCACCTGGTGAGTCCCCCGCCCCCCCTCCCCGGGACCCCCGCCTTCCTGCCACGGCCCCTCCCGGCGGCCGAGGCTTCGCGGGGCTTCCCGTCTTCCCTGAAGTTGAGTCTGAAGCGGGGGCGGTTTCTGTAACGGTCCCGAACGCGCGAGAGCGGGCCGGTGGCGGGCTGGCCCACTGACTCGGCCTCCCAGGCCTATAGAAGACCCCCATTTTACCCAGTATCGACCTCCTTGGGATTGGAGCCTTTTTCTCCCGCCTTGGCGCCCTTTTCTGTTAAAATAACTGATGTGGCTGATTTGTTCGGTGTTCTCTACCTTTCAAGTCCCTTTTATGCACTGCTCTCATTTCAGAGTAAGCCGTGGGATGGTCACAGTTGTGTCCTCGGCCATTCCAAGCTGTTCCTTGCCCTTTTCACTCTCATTCTCTTGTGAGTGCCGTGGAGTTTTCCAGACGCTATAAGTTGTGGAAGGACCACTTGCCTTTTGAAAATTTTGTTTTAATCTCTGATACTACAAATATCAGTGGTCGTAATCCTTGTAAACAAAAACTCTTCGGGGGGGCCACAATAGCGAGAGGCCCGCGTACCGCAAAAAAATAAAAAATAAATAAAAAATAAGGGAATCAAAAAAAAAACTCTTCGGGGGCCTGAGACCAAAAAGTTTGAAAAGTGCTGGTCTAAGCAGTCTCCCAGATTAAAAGTTTAGGTTGTGGGGACCTGAGAGGTTGGGTGATGTTCCCAAGTCACACAGCCCGTTTGTTTGATAGAGCCTGGAGAAGGGTTTTTGTCCTGTTCGGCCCAGGTCTCTTTCCTCTGTGTCCTGTCGTTAGGGAGGTCTCAGCTTTCCTGTCTGGACTGCCTTGTTACCGTTGCTGTGTTTGTGTGCACGTGTGGGTGAGGAAAATGTGTTTTAAACTCTTTGGTTCAGAGTGAAGTTCAGTCTTCAGAATTAAACTTGGGCTGGAGAGAGTTTAATCATTTAATTGATGGTGGATTTCTTGTCAGTTGCTGTGCTTATTTTGCAATAAGTTTACCTTTAATTAAACTTTTTGAGATAATTGTAAATTTTTGTGCAACTGTGAGAAGTAACAGAATTCCCCAGCACCCTTTACCCAGTCTTCCTTAATAATAACATGCTGCCAACCACAGTGAAGAGCACATCCAGGACACTGACTCTGCTGTGTGAGGACAGGGCTCTCCTTCGCCCCAGGGCCCGTCGCTGCCCTTGTGGAGCCACAGCCACTTCCTTTCCACTCCACCTCCTCCTTAGCCCCTAGCAACTACTGCAGTCTGTGATTTCTGTAAGTTTGTCATTTCGAGACTGATATATAATGGGATCGCCCAGTGTGTAACCTTTGGGGATTGGATATTTTTCACTCAGCAGCGTCCTCTGGAGGTTCATTCAGGTGTCGCAAGTATCATTAGTTTGTTCCTTTTAATTGCTGAGTAGTATTCCAGGGGGTGGATATACCACACTTTGAAGGACACCTAGGTTGTTTCCAGTGTTGGGCTGTTATGAATAAAGCTGCTTTAGTAATGTAGCATGAGGAAGGTGTAAGTCGTCAGTTCTCTGGGATTCACATGACAGTTGCATGTTTAGTTTCATAAGAAACTGCCGAACTCTTTCCCAGAGTTTCTGCACCGTTTTTCATTCCCGTCAGCAACGTATGCAAGACCAGTTTTTCCACATCCTCCCCAGCGCTTGGTGTTCCTGTTTTTTTATTTAGACCTTCCGATAGGTATGTAATGATACATTGGGGTTTTAACTTGCATTTTTCTAATGTGCTTGTTTGCCATCTGTATATTCTCCAGTGAAATGTCTCTTCATTTCTTTTGCACATTGTCTAATTGGATTTTTTTTTACTGCTGATTTTAGACGTTTTTAAAATGTATATTCTAGACACCAGTCCTTGCAAATGTTTTTCCTCATTCTTTGTGGGTTTTTTTCATCCTCTTAAAGAATTTTTTGCAGAGCAAACATTTTTAAAAGTTTTGATAACATCCATTTTATCAGTTTTTCGTTATACGGATTGTACCTTTGTGTCAAGTCTAAGAATCCATTGCCTAACTCAAAATACCAAAGGTTTTCTCTAATTTTTTTCCTAACAGTATTATAGTTTGTTTTACATCTAAACCTATGACCCATTTTGAGTTAATTTTTGTATGAGATACAAGACTTAGGTCAAGGGTCATTTTTGGCTTATGGATGCTCCAGCATTTGTTGAAAAGGCTATCTGTCCTCTCTTGAATTGCTTTTGCACTTTCGTCAAAAATCAGTTGAGCGTGTTTGTGTGGATCTCTTTCTGGGGTCTCTGTTAGCATGCAGTCTTGATTCCTGTAGCTACATAAATAAGTCTTGAAATAGAGTCGACTGATGCTTCTCACTTTATTCTTATATTTCAAAAAGTTTTTTGGCTATTCTGGTTTCTTTGCCTTTCATTATAAATTTTAGAATAGTCTTGTCTACCTACAAAGAATTTTGCTGGGATTTTGATAGATATTACATTAAGTCTACATATTAGTTTACGGAGAGGGATTTTTAAACTTACAGATTTCAATTCCTTACTAGTTATCTGGCTATTCACGTTATTTCACATTGGGTGAGTTGTGATGGTGTGTGGTTTTGTGATCCATTCCTTCCAAGTGGTCAAATTTCTGTGTATGGAGTTGTTCATAATATTATCTTATTATCCTTTTGATTTCTTCAGTCTGTAGTGACAGTCCCTGTTTCATTCCTGATATTGGTAATTTGCATCTTCTGCCTTTGTCAGTCTTGCTAGAAGTTTGTCAATTTCATTGATCTTTTCAAAGAACTATTTGTTTCATTGGTTTTTCTCTATTATTTTTGTATTTTCAATAAACTGATTACTGATCTTATCTTTATTTCCTTTGCTTGCTTTTGGTTTATTTCGCTCTTCTTTTTCTAAGTTCTTGAGGGGAGACCTTAGATCACTGATTTGAGACTTTTCCTCCTTTCTAATATAGGCACTTGGTGTTAATGAATTTCCCTCTCAGCAGGGCTTTAGCTGTCTGTGTTCCACAGATTTTAGTATGTTGTATTTTCATTTTCATTCTACCTTTAGTTTTTAAAGAGCTCTGTGTTAAATCTCACTTGAAACTCTTCAGATTTTCAGACCTTTTTTTTTCATAGAAGAGGACATTAAGACTCAAAGATATGTTGTACAACACAGGGGGTATAGCCAGTATTTTGTAATAACTGTAAATGGAAACTGACCTTCAAAGGTTGTATTAAAAAGACTCAGGGAGGTTTAGTGCATGCTCAAGGAATCACAGCTAGTGATGATGAGGTCTGCTTTGGGCCATATTGTGCCTGCCACTGTCTCCACATGTCCCCCATTAGTAATTGCATAAGTTTTATGATTCAAGAGATCTTGACTGTATAGTTATTTATTGCTGACTCTGATAGTGGATCTTGTGATGACGTTGACTACCTTTTCCTGTCTCTTGAGAAACACACTCATAATTTTCTGCTTCTTCAGACTATCCTTACCAAAGCTTTTAAATGGTGTCCAGATCTTTTCAATTTCAAACTGCCTCTGTCATTTCCTGTTTCAGATGCTATACTTTTGAACTCTTATGTTTCTTTTTCAGTTATCACTCAGTGAGGATAATTTTTTTATCTTAGAAGCTTCCCTCATTTGTTTTACTTTCTACCTTGAAGTTGTGACTTTTAATTCTTCTCTTTTATGTCCTGGAGTTAATTACCGTCTCAGTGTTTCTGATGTGGAGAGACATCCCTTCCCACTGGTCCAGGTCCTGTAATCATCATAAGATAATGAAAGACCGAGTTCCTGGCCCATCTTCTCTGAAGCTTACCCAGAGCACTTTAACCTGTGGCAGTCTGTTGTACTGCTTGTTTGCCACTAGTCATGTGCTTCCTTGCAATACCTCCTAACTTATGTTTTGTATTGTTACTTAACTTTTCACATCAATTAAATTTTAGTGAACCTTGCATTTCCCCCCCACCCCCTAAATTAAATGATCTGTCTTCAGGAAAAGCAACCTGTAATATTCTTTGTATCCTCCGTAGCCATGATTATACGTCTTTGAGGACCGGTGTTGAATATTTTTTATATGGGAAGTATGTTCACCTTGAATCATTTTATTCTTGTTGAATGTTACACACATCAGTTATAAAATCTTACGGGCAGCTAGGAGCTGTTAGTCTGCATTTATGTTCTAACGAGGCTCCACCTTCCTCCAAGCTTTTGAGGTTTTTCCATGCTGATTTTGATCCTAACACAGTTCCAGACTGTAACTGTTTGTGTTGATTATTTATTTATTTATTTGGGTGTGTGGGAAAGGAGAAAGAGGATGTTTTAAATTTTTGTAGTTTACTACAGAATAGACTTACTCTTCTCAAGAATATTTATTATCCCTTTATTTTTTATCTATCTATCTATCTATTTATTTATTTTTGGCTGTGTTGGGTCTTTGTTGCT